GTGGGAGTCTGCAGTGAGAATGAAAGATGGTGACCTTTACCTGTGTGAGTGGGGCTCTGAAACTTTAAGGAGCCGTTAGAGACAGAGGGGATGAGGGAGGCCGAGGGGGCGGATCGTCCTGTTTGGGGGCTGAGAGGGTTAGAAGTAACCGGTGGTTTAGAAGCAGCCGGGTTAGGGAAGTTAGAGCTGTCACCGCTAGAAGAGGGCAGAGAGCCGCTTTTCCCAGAGCTGGGAGAAAGGGCTGGGATCTTAGAAGCAGGTAAGGAGGGGAAAGCAGGCTTACAGTCCCCACCAGCTTTCTTAGCACTTCCATTAGCCTGCAAATAAAGACGGCGGAGACAGTTTGTCAGAAAGTTGGTAACACGATCGTTGCACAGGGTCTGGCAACACAGCCCTTCTGAGAATAATTCAATAAAAGGCATCCAACCCAACCAAACCAGTTCAAGGCCTGAGCTAAGTCTCATTGTGCTGTACTGGACCTGGGAGAAAACCCCAAAGTACAGAGCAGAGGATGCACAAAGGAAGAAAGGAGACCATGTCTGGGGTCTGGGGCTGGGTCAGCCATGCGTCTGGGTTATGAAGGGGTGAGGGTGGGACGTGGAGTGTTAATGTGCCTCTAATGCAGTGCAATCAACACAGACGTTAGTGGGGGCGACTTTCAGGACAGTTCAACGACAGGTTTGTCTGACTCGGTTACTCAGGGCGTTCTGATGAACCACTACATTCATTCGCCAAAGAAAAGCCAACCGGTGTGGCAGCTTGTGTTAATGGCTAAACTTGGGACTCACAAAGTAAACCATGTTTTATTGCAGGCATGCAAAAGCGTGGAGAAAAGTTCAACAAACAAAGGTTTTTAGACTTTCTTCATGCCCCAGATCCAGGAAGTCTACACAAACCATAGCTTACAAAGAAAACACAATGTTTGGTATAAACTAAGTCAGCGACTTGCTTCACCACTGTAAGAGTGTCCATCCAAAACTGGTTTTAAGGTAAAACTACCTGACGATATTGGCGGGGATCCTGCAGTTTGGTCTGCTTGCCGGGCTTGTCCAGGCTTCCGGGTCTATTCTTGGAGCTCATGGGGACTGGCATCCTGCTGGTCTGCGGGGTCCCCGCCGGGGCCTGTGGGGAAGAGCAGCGAGAGGGGGAAGACAAGGGAAGCACGTGAGTGGATTATCACCGAGGCCGGCCCACCTGTGCCGAGAAGCTCAATGTGAGAAGCCACAGCCCTACATGCAGAACAGATCTGGGAGACGGACATCAGAAGACACCACTGGGTTAATTCCAAGAATCAAACAGAATAAACTGCTCCACTACTGATCAAACGGATTTTAATGTGAGTATCAGAGCAATCATTTTAACGGCAAATGGATGACCCAGCATCCTTGCGCTTACCCAACACCAATCAGCAACAGAGGTAAAACCAGTCAATTAGCTGTTAGACACCCAGTTGTTGTTGTTTTGAAGGGGAGGGAGAAAGTGTGAGAGAAAAGTATCAAGGCGAACAGACAAAAAAATAAATAAAACATAATAAATGAGCCACCTGAAAGGAAGCAAGTCAATCACAAGACACCTTTTGCTAGTGGTGATTATGGCAGATTTAGGAAAGCAGCTGGGTCTTTTCATTTTCCATCAGACCAAGATACCTTACGTGAAGCTGAAGGTATTGATGAGGGGGGCTCTAGGGCAGTGGGAGCTTCTTCCAGAACTAGCAAGGCTCGGGGAGAGGCCTCCCGGGCTATGTGGGATGAGCTGGCAACAGAATCTCTGTTGGGAGAACATGAGGTATCAACGAGGGCTTTTGGACTCATTTCGCTGATCGTGTTTTCCAGCTGTTTGATGGTCTGCTCCAGGCTGTCCAGTGTTCTGTAGGTGTTATTTCTAATCTCATCAGTTCTGGAAAAGGAAGATGTGTTCTCCAGACAGGGCTGCCCCTGTCTCCTGAGCCTGTTTTGGGGGGTGTCTTCGGGTGGAGAAGACTGAGTGATTTCGAATCGCTTGGCTTCTTTGTGCTGCTTCAAAGTGCCGTCCTCTTCCTCCTCTTCGTAGACCACCACCTGCAAGGTCTTCTTCCCCGTCTTGGTTCCTGTGCGAATTGCCTGAGTGAGAGCGGCGAGTTGCTTTTTAGGGAATTTGAACTTGAACTTTTTCTTGGGGCTTTCCAACTGGTCATATGCCGCATCACACTTGCTTTCTGAACTTGGAGAATCGGCTCGGCCGCTCGTGGTCAGCTCAGCCTTATTCATTCCCTGTCCTCCTGACACTCCGGTGTCTCCTGAGAGGGAGTGTGGCTGCAATCGGCTCTCAGCCTGCAGTCCTGAGCCGGGGCCTGACACAACCTTCTGGAACTTTTGGGAAGTGTTATTCTGGACCACAGTGTCTCCATTTTCCTCCTCTTCCTCCTCTTCTATCTTTTCCTCTGTCATCATTCTCTCTAATTCCTCATCGCACTCCTCAAATATGGTTGAAAGTCTCTTATATGCAGATCGGATGTCCATGGGCTCGTCAAAAATGATGATGACTGGCTTCTTGTCTAGGCACACGACTGGCTCTTCATTTTCAGTCCCTTCTTGTTGGGAAGTCATCTCTTTTTTGGCATCAATATTCACCGTCTGTACATCTTCTCCCTTCTTGCTCACTATCTCGCGGACCTCCCCGCTGGAGAGAACCTGGACCGCAGTTCTGGTAATCATGAAGGCGATGTTGTCTGTGGGTGCACTTTCCTCAGTGGGAGAACTTGGGGTTGATTCTCTGTCCTCATTAGGCTTCCCATTATTAGCATGCCAAGTCCCCTTGGGTCTTAGCACAACTTGGCCAAACTCTGTCACAGGAACCTCTTGATCTTGAGTTTTGACATCACAAATACTCAATTCAGTTGACCTAGTGGGAGAGAGTAGGTGACATCTATCTGCATTTTCTTGATCTCGTTGACTCATCTCTTTTGTCTTTTCATAATTCATCTTCTGGTTCTCAGGGTCAGATGGAGGGCCCTGCAGTCCTGAGATTTTAGGCCCTTTGCTTATTTCATCTTCTAACAAATTGGTGCCAGGGAAACTGGAATTGACCTTAGACACATTTTTCTGGGAATAATTTCTACTGTCTCTAAGTAAACTCTTATTGGGTATGGAATTTTCCTTCATTAAGATGTCAATTTTATATTCTGATGTTCTTGAGGCATCAAGAATATCTGATGTTCTTGATGTCAGTTTTATATTCTGATGTTCTTGAGAAATACTATTCTCCACTCCTCTTTCCCACTTGGGACGGTCACTATGTGTAGGAGCCCCTGAGGTGACCTGCGAGGGAGAGTGGAGGAGGGAAATGACATGCGTTAATCAGAAATGGATCTGCAAAGGAGGCTAATTAATCTGCATGGTATCGGCTGGAACACGGACGGGGAACTCACCTTTCGGGATTCCATTTGGGGGCCATTTTCATATTCAACATCAGATTTCCGTACGTCTTCGTGGAAAAATTCCAAATTCTGGTAGGATAGTGTAGGACATGTTACTCCACAAAACCACACCCCCTCCCACAGTGGACTATAACTAAATTGTTCCTTTAATTACATTTCCAAAACATGCGGGCCAACCACATTTGTTACACACCGGTCCAAAGCCTATAGCTCTGTTTACCTTGGGCTGTTTTGTTCGCCAACTTCCAAAAATGCCCTGTGTTTGCATAAGGTGAAAATCTCAATTAGCAAAATATCTCAAGAAATTCAAATCTGGTGGGGGAGCAATGAAGAGAATAAAGAGACTGATTCTGTAGGAAACGTCCTCTTTTCAACATCTGACAGTGAGCTTGGCAGAAGCGGAAACCAGCATGGGGTGGCCTTGCAGAAAGCACACTATGTCAGCAGGCAGAGTCAATGTCTTCTGCCTGCCACTTAATCGTGTCACTTTAAGCAAGCTCCTCCACTTCTCTGGGCCTCAGTGTTCTTGCTTATAAACTGAGGCACTAGACCAGCAGATTGTTCATGTCCCTTCCAGCTAGTTATTTCAGTCCTATCAGTTTTGTTTATGGAAAGTGTCCTCCAAGGACATCTGCACTGGTAGGGTGTAGGACTTTGAGATTTAAAAAAACAACATTCTTTTTCAAATGACAGATTGAAATATACTCGCAGTTTGTACTTGCACTTGCCAAGGAAAGTGTCAAAATAGCCTTCAAAGTAATCACACCAAGATGATCAAATCCAAATTCAGTGTGATAATGCTGCTAAAATACCATCTAAACATTTACAAAACAGATATCTGAGGCTAGGATTGTGACTGGCACATCATGATTAAGATTTTATTCTCTATACAGTCTGATGCAGAGCAAAGAGACATCCCGAGGCTCTCACCGAGGTTCCGAACAGAAGAGCCCAGCACGGAGGACCCGGGATGCAGAGGGCTCCCCGGGAAGCGCGCCCTTCCCCGCATGGCTGTACCAGTAGCCCGGGCCCTGTCACAACGCTCACACTAACCATGCCCTGTCATTTCCAGGGCACTGCTGTCCTTTCTTCTCGTTGCAGAAGCCCAAGAGGAAGAGGTGAGTTTAGTAGGATGGGACATAATCCCAACGAGGTTGTTTGGTTACAGCAACGACAGCGTAACAAAGCACAGTAACCCAGGCCCCCGCCAAAGTCAACCCAGAGCAGTCCTACCACCCTGGTTAAAAATGGAAAGAATGTTCATACAGGTTAAGGGATAATACACAAACCACAGACTCCCTATAAGTCACATGGAAAGATCACACAAGGTACGAGGTGCATTAGCCAACACCACCAGTTTAACTTCCCCTCACCCCCAGGAGGCCCCCAAACAAGTGCAATGAATGACTCAGCTGCTGTAGTCGAATGACATAATATCTTTTGTGGGATTTTACATTTAGATAATTAAACAACGAATACAACAAGTAAAAGGTTTTAAGAAAAAGAAATGAGGCTTGGGCCCAAGGTTTCAATTCCACCTATGGAGCTAGCACGTTAGGACCTGCGGAAGAATTTATCCTTGAATCAGGGAAGGAACAGCCATGTGATCTAAAGAAGACACCTGCACAGCTGATGTTCTGCTGGCCCAGGTGCTGGGGGTAGACCTGCTCTCTGTTCTGATTGGTCAGGACCCCAGTCATACCCATCATGAAATATTTGGAATGCCACCATGTGAGACATGCATTGTAAGACAGACAGATCGAGTAGCAGGAATACTCCAATGGAAGGTCACTAAGATAAAGTTGCCAAGCTTAGGTTTCACATGGCCTACCATTTTTGTCACTGGGCTAGAAAAAAGAATGGGTGTATTAAAGCAAGTGCATTAACTTTATTCAGAGTAGCATGGTCACAACTGTCATAGGTAATCTCACAATGATTTCTTAGATAGTCATGATTGAATAATTAAGCCTCATTAATATCTACTTATGGGCTCTGAGATTTGGATTGTTCAGACAACTGGTGAAGCAGGCTCAATACACATACGGGCAATAAACCAGAATTAGAGACAGAATTATAGGACTACTGCATAAAAGTCAAGAATTAGGCTAATGCTTTCTGATGACAGGAGAAATATTTTAAGAGGTATAGAAAAGGAGATGAGTAGCCCAGGGAGAGGTTAATGACAACAATTTGGGGACAAGTCTGAAGCCCACATTGTATATACTACTCAAATACAAGTCTGATACTGATATTATGGAGCAGATCAACCTACTCAGTATAATTATCTAGAATAAGCACCTGTGATTAAACCCAGTGTTGGGCACTCAATACAGACCTGCTTATTATTAGCCGATGGACCCCTGATTGAGATAAAAGAGATGATTGGGATATGGGTTTGTAATTGCTGGACAAAACATCTCATGCAAATTTCAAGGCAATTAGCAAAATTCTACAATGAGACAATAATCTTCTCCAGAGGGATCTTCAAGAAGTTCCCAGTTTCTAGTGTTTTAGACAAAAATAGTCCCATTGGCCCAAATATGCCCTATAACTCAAATGCGCTAGGGTCTTCCATGGCCTGGTCTTAATAAGGCCACATAAGGGGATTCCAGAGACTGGAAAAACAATATATTTCCAATATGACTGCCATGGATTCAATCCAAATTAGTAGGAGGTTTTCTTCATGAGAAAGATTTATCAACAATAATCTCATAACCTCCCGTGATGTACCGGGAGATCGCATGTCGCCTGGTTACTGGCTTCCTGTGGCAGACTCATCGTACACAGGGCTCTCTGCTGGCTGTGAGCCAGGGAGGAGCAGGCAGGGGGCTGCAGGCACCAGGCTGCATCTCTTGAAGGGTTGTATTAGAATAACTTTCGATTTCGTGACCCTTTAGCTCAGGGGTCCTCAAACTACGGCCCGCGGGCCACATGCAAATACAAATATTGTATTTGTTCCCGTTTTGTTTTTTTACTTCAAAATAAGATATGTGCAGTGTGCATAGGAATTTGTTCATAGTTTTTTTTAAAACTATAGTCCAGCCCTCCAACGGTCTGAGGGACAGTGAACTGGCCCCCTGTTTAAAAAGTTTGAGGACCCCTCACTGAGCTTACGTGCACATGGACTGCGGTGCCCACTTGGACTCACAATGCACTAGCCGAGATGTTTGACTTCATTTAAGGGCAACTAGAACCTCTGAATTCTGAAATATACGTTCTGGTGAGACATGTTAGGACTTGAGTTGATCACAATCAACTTTCTATATCAGTGGTTCTCAACCTGTGGGTTTCGACCCCTTTGGGGGTCGAACGACCCTTTCACAGGGGTCGCCTAAGACCATCGGAAAACACATGTATAATTACATATTGTTTTTGGGATTAATCACTATGCTTTAATTATGTTCAATTTGTAACAATGAAAATACATCTTGCATATCAGATATTTACATTACGATTCATAACAGTAGCAAAATTACAGTTATGAAGTAGCAACGAAAATAATTTTATGGTTGGGAGTCACCACAACATGAGGAACTGTATTAAAGGGTCGCGGCATTAGGAAGGTTGAGAACCACTGTTCTAGTCTGACATTTAGACAGCGGCTTCATTCAAATAAGATGGCTCTCTTGCCAAAAATTCATAAAAGTTCCAGGTCTAACTTAATGTTGAGGTTCAAACACTCAGGCTCACATCCTCTCCCTAAAGTACTGAGGTCACGACAATGAACTTTGTTCCAGAGCCTGGACATCTGTTTCGAAGCCATTTGAATGCCACAAAGTGTATTAGCACTAAAACTATACTGAACTTCTTATCCTGCAAGGTCTACTTTGAGAATTTGTAATATAAGAGAATTCTGCTGGGCATCTTTACACATGTGTGCAGATACATGTGTGTGTTTCCATGAGCATCCACCTGTGGACGCCTCAGGTGTGCAGCTCTGCCCCGAGCTTCCTTCCTGGAATCTACAGCTTTCACCGATTTTTAATATAGATGCTTTGGTCCAGGAGGTAGGTGAAAAATGAGAAAAAGTGCTACAACCTTGGTTGGTGTTTCTTTTTTTGTGTCCGTAAGAGTCATTCTAGACAATCTTGAAAGATGTATATTCTTTAGTTTGTGAAGATAATGCCTCAGTTCTGCACATACTATTGAACGCTGTGCATGGAAAGAATGCATCTGCTCAGAAAACCTCAGCCAGTTATCTCTGAATTAAATGCAAAGCGGTGTCTCAGTTCATTGTCTTTTTAAAGGCGAGAGGAAAGGAGAGGGCACAGAAGGACAAGCACAGGAGCGGTTAGTGTCAGCAAGGAAAGAAGGGCTGTCCGCCCGCGTGGCAGAGTGTAATTGCCACGTTACCTTCTTCTCCTTGGGTGAGACTGTGGCCCCCGGCCTAGTGTCTTTAGCGTGACTGTCAGCCCGGGACTGCTCAGCATGACTGTTTGAATTTACATCCATAAAGGAACACTTCTGGAATGCCTATGGAATTAAAATACTGAGGTTAACAGGATTCTGTGTAGCGAGGAGGAAGGAGGAGATAGGTACGCAGGGAATCAATCTAGAGTGTGGAGACCGCAGCCCTGTCCTGCACGCAGGTCACACCAGGGCTGGATGGAAGGCAGCACCTTGAAAACCTGCTTCCCTTCTGGCCTCAGGCCCACAGAGCTGGTGAGAGGGCGGAGCCTGGTGCCAAGGCCTCCTGATTTCTGGGCCACAGCAAGATAAAAGGACACAGCTCTTGCAGAGAACACCCTTTCTTCCTGTCCAGGGTGAATTTGGTTTGCGCTTAGTAGGGCTTCTTGTTTTGACCTTTCAAAAATATTGACTATGTAAATGAATTAATGAAAAAAAAAACAACCAAGAAGCCATCTTTTCTTTCTTTTTTCTTGATTATTTTTTTTACTAGACTCAATTTATTTATTGAAGCTATAGAAAAAGGGCACAATATATTAAAAACCCTTAAACCTTAAAATAAAAGTAATGCTTGTCAATTCATTGTCTGAAATAGTAACAGGGACTCCGTGCTCCAAGGTGTTCTGAGGCTCACTGAGAAAGTGGTGCTGTTCAGCACCATGGCATTCTGAGTGGCCTCGGAACTGCCTGAGGCCTAGACTTGTTTCTGAAAACTGTCCTGGTTTTAGTAGCCACACCAGCTCATGTGAGCACGGAGCCAGGAGAGGAAGCACAGGCTATGTCTGCAGGGCAGAGGGGAGCGGCAGGGTGATGGTGAGAACAGGAGACACAGTAACCCAAGAACCCAAGTTTCTTGAAATCAGAGGTTTTCAATATATCACCTGGTTTATAAAAATACTATTACCCAGGGCTCACCCAGAGAAAATTAAATCTGAATCTCTGGGCTGTAGGACTTTAAAAAAATTTTTCTTATGTAATTCTAACGGACAGCCAGGATTAAAATCTACTTATTTAAATGAATCATCTCAAATAATTCTTTCATATTTCCTTAATGTCAAGTACTATCATCTGGAAATAACTGCTGGCAGAAAGAATAACCCATGCCCTCCCCAAGTGAACGTCTCATCGCTGGTCCAAGTAAGAACGGAGCTGATGCCCAGGACTCTCCCCAGCCGGCTTTCCACTCTCTGCGAACTCCCTGCTCCCGCCGCTCCGGCACCCTCCTTGTTGGCCCGGAGTTGCCCAGGGCTCCGCTCACGAAGGCCACTTGCCATCGCTGTTGGGCTGTGAGACCCTGGACTTCGGAGCCTGTGGTTTCTGATGGTGCCTGTTGACAGGAGCATGAAAGTTGTTCCACAGTTACGCTCCTTGTCCTGCCGTGGGGATGAGGGCTGTCTAACCAGAGCCACTGGCCAACTTTCTGAGCAGCGGGTTGGGTCCCTACCCCAGCAGGATGGCTGGGTTTGGTTAAGTTAGGGTTAGAGCACATACTCACCACTAGCACCTAACCACCAATAATACAACAAGAAGCCAGATACACAGCTTTTGTAAAGCTTCCAGGTAAAGAAAGCATTGAAGATACTCAGACTTCGATGGAGGGAAATATTCTCAAGTGATGGGCTCTAAGTGGCTAGAACAAATATATTAATTTTCTTAGGAGGCTAGTGCAGGATTATTCACAAGACTAACACTCTCCACTTCTTGGCTTATTAGTAATTGTTCACCGTGTACAGATTTACAATGATCTAGTGCTGTCACCATTTGAATCAAACCAGGCCATGACCCATCCAAACCCTAATTTGGGGCCAGATGCTACAATGAATGGCCCCAGGATCTGCCTACACATCTTAGGACATGCACCAATCCCAGCGACAAGTAGGCTTGACGTGCCAGGGTCAACAGCCTGAGGGTCCTCATTGGATAACTGGGTGATGGATGCCTCCCTGCTCCCAGCTGTTTCATGAGTTGCTAACTTTATAAATCTGTGATTCCTATGAATGAAATTCTCCAGCCCTTCTAAAAACCTGTGCGTAATCTGATTGGTGGAGGGGATGTCCCAGTCCAGTCTGTGAGTTTTAGTGAGGCTCGAAAGGCTCGTGCATGTGACCATCAACCAGCAGCCCTGTGTTCCCTACAAAATCCAAGCAGCTCCTCTTTAGCGGGCATTACCACGGAAAGCGGAGGACAGCAGCAGTGGAAATGACATGGTTTGAAAGCTCTCCCTATTCCAAATGCAGGATGCAGATCCTCGGGCCTGCACACAACCCTGGGTACACTGGTGAAAAGTAATATGTTTTGGAGCCCCAAGAAAGTTGTGATCTTACATTCTGAAGGACAAAATAATCCTATAATAAGCATGGGTCAAAATGAAATACTCTATGAACAGACTTTGGTCTAATCATTATGCATATGTCTTCAGTTAGTCAAGTTCTTAGAACGTATACGCAGGGCAGATTCACTTCCACAATTTGAATGTGGGATCAGTTTCGGGTATAGCCCATGCACCCCATCTTTAATCCTAAGAGCAGACTGTGGTAATTAGTTACAAATAAAAATCTAAAAATAAATAACAATTTCTTAAATAGGCAAGGAAAATGATAAATAAGACTATTTGGCTTTTGAGACTATTTGAAAAGATGAAACTGACATTGAGTGGGAACCTTGTACGGAGTGAAGGAGGCCACATGACTCAAGTTCAGTCATTCTAAATATCAAGGCCAAGTTACAGGACCCCGCCTGCAGTAGGGGTTCAGCAGTTCTTATCAAGAGAAACCATGGCCAGTGTTTCTGATTTCCTTTTAAATTAATTTTTTAAGGGAAACAGAGACTATCAACACTGAAAGGAGAAAAGTAAATTCTACCAGCCAGAGCTAGGAAAGCTTGCAATTGATTTTTTGTGTAAACTTCCTGAGTTGTTCCATGGAATGGTCATTCCTTATACACATCCTAAAGGTGTGCTGAGAGCCCAGTGAAGGCCAAGGCCAGCCTTCTCTAGCCAAGGAGTCTGTGAGAGATGTAGGCGGAGTCCCTGATGGGAAGAGCAAGGAGCCACGGTCAGTCACTGCATCCACATACCTGGAGTTCTGCCATGATTTTGTCTCCTTCTTCTTCCTCCTCCTCGTCCTTTGAGGAGCAGGTAGTGACTGGAGGTGGGGATGGAGTCCACGCTGAAGCAGGCTCCTCTGCTGGGCACTTTGTGGCTCTAGCCTGCAGGCTTGGTCCGGCATCTTCACTGCTTGCCTATGGAAGATTCAAGCCACAGATGTTGGCTGAACACCCCCAGGTCTGGCAAAAAGAGGGAGCGACCACAGAGGACCTCGTGTTCCCTCACTGCCTACTAAACTGACTTCCTGGCTCTTCAAATTGAGTTGAAGGGCTATTTTGTCCACTTGCATTTCGTTTAGGTCTTTGTTCATGTAAGCTACCATTTTGGTGAACGGATTGAAGAATTATAATAAAATTGTAACTCCTCACCATTCAGTGCCTGTAAGAAAGGTCCTCCCATACTATCTTCCCTTGAAACTTGAATTTTACGTTGAACATAAAAGATAAAACATGCCATGTGCCGTGCAAGCTAAAGCTCATTAAGCATCTCTGTGTATGGACGCCCTCAACCGTGTTAGCTCATCCCAGTTATCTTTGTAAGGTGGTCTTTCTTTTGCTTCCCTCCACTACCCTTATTTTCAATCTCACGATGACCTGCTGGGGAAGTAGCTTATGATTTGCATTTCACATCATTGCAGCTAAAAGTCAAGTAAGGATAAAACTAGTGTTGCTGCATCCAGTCCAGTAACACTGGCTGACGTTTTTCCATCTGTGGTACTTCCTGCCCTTCCAGTTTTATTTGATTCTCTGCTTCTCTTCTCTGCCTCAGTGCTTTCTATGTTTTAAATGAGAGCAGACATGACCTTGTCTAAGGGAATCGTGTGAACCTAGAGACCAGTTTGCCAGGCCTTGACCCATCTGACCTTAGTGGTGGTGTTCTCCTTCCTGCTGGTGTAGACCACGTCGCCAGTCCTGGTGGTGGTGAGCCCGGATCCTGGCAGGTAGCTCCGTCTCGGGGGCGGGGGAGGAGGGGGTGGGGACTTGCCCCCCAACCTGTCCAAGTCCTGCTCGGAGCTTGGAGAGTCTTCTGTAAGACAGTGTGCCACTGCACAATCATCTCCTTTCAAGATGACGCTCAAAAGTCCAGTATATTCCTATAACCTTGATACATTCTGATGCAAAATTTTCTCTATTCTTTCCATCGTGCAAAAATTAACGTAAAAACCCTGCAGCCCAACTGACTTGAAATCCTGGAAAGATCTTTCACAAGCTAATTAACCCCTCTGCCTTGGATTTCTTGTCTGTTAAATGAGTATTATAACAAGCGCCTCTCCACTGGGGTGCCCTGAGGATTAAATGACTTACTATGCATAAAGCACAGTGCTTACTGGCTTATGATAAATGTTATGCAACTATTAGCTGTCATTATTAAACAAAAAAAGCTACTTGGAGAGATGAGCGATCAGACCTAAAGGCAAATGCAGAGCCCTGCATGGTCTCCAAAGCCCCCAAGCCCCAGGCGAAAAACAGCCTTCGGAGGAGGCACTGGGCAGGGGTGTGTTAGAGTAGAATATGGCCAAGGAAGGGGCAGAGGGAAACTGGGAAGCACATGGGAACAGAGAACAAAATCACGGGGAAAGTGGGGGCTTTGGTCCTGGTTATGGGCTTGGAAAAGGCTCTCTGCTAAAGAACAGAGACAGCAAATGCAGTAGAGAGAGAATTGTTAGTATTGACATCTACTCAGCCTTCCCCAGGAAAATGCTCAGGAAAACAGCCTCATTGCAAAGCCCTTCCCCAACCTTCCCCACTTCAGCCCTTTACAAACACTGCCCAGCAGTTCTCTAAAGTGGTAGAACCAGAAATTCAGGGTCTGCACTTATAGCTGGGCTTTTCCCAACTCTCTCTAGGGCAGTGATGGTGAACCTATGACACGAGAACTCATTTTTTTGGTTGATTTTTCTTTGTTAAATGGCATTTAAATATATAAAATAAATATCAAAAATATAAATCTTTGTTTTACTATGGTTGCAAATATCAAAAAATTTCTATATGTGACACGGCACCAGAGTTAAGTTAGGGTTTTTCAAAACGCTGACACGCCGAGCTCAAAAGGTTTGCCATCACTGCTCTAGGGACTGAAGTGCTTGTCTTTTCTGAGCAGAGAGACAGAGTTCTTTAGAATGCTTGACATGTTCCCATTTATAGTGGTGACAGACTTGCCCGACTGGTGGCTCAGTGGTTGAGCATCGACCTATGAACCAGGAGGTTAGGGTTCGATTCCTTGGCAGAGCACATGCCCAGGTTGTGGGCTCAATCACCAGTGTGGGGCGGGAAGGAGGCAGACAATTAATGATTCTCTCTCACCATTGATGTTTCTCTCAGTCTCCCTTTCCCTTCCTCTCTGAAATCAATAAAAATATATTTTAAAAAATAAAGTTGTGACAGACTCGGGAAATCATGAGGGTGACATGCCAGTGATTATTCATGGTGGACAGTTCCTGTCTCATGCACAAGGGTGCTGGGTTACAGGGCCCCGCAGCATCGGGGCTGTGCTGGTTCCTATGCCAGCAGCCTGGCCTCGGGATGGTCACCTCCAGGTTGGGTCCCTCTTGCAAGCATGTCAAACTCACAGCCACAGGGCCACATGCCTCAGCATAGGCTGGCCGACCCAGTTCTCTCCTCTCAGGTGTGATGACAGACTCCCTCTTTGAGCAACTTATTCAAGCTCCTCTCGGCCCTCTTCTCACTAGTCCTGACCTTGATCTGCTGAGCCGAGCTTTAGCAAAGAATCCAGTCAGCAAGAATCCCCCATTCTTGATATCTGACAAGTTCTTCGTTCCCCACCCTGATATTTAGGTCCTTGGCCTGCCTTTCGCAGGAATCCCGCCTGCTGCACTCAGAGCTGAGTCAGTCTCTCTCCTCTTGGCAATAGTCTTGAATAAAGTCTTCCTTGATGCTTTTTAACATCTGCCTTTGTGAATACTTTTGCTTTACCATTGACTGAGGCCACCATTCCCCAAATTTTCCATTAATATTTTTGGGAGCTATCCATCCTGCCCCATTATATATGTAGGCAGACAATTCACCCAAAAGGAAATACAAATGATTTTTTAAAACCCTTAGCTTAGAATTTTACCCCATTAGTAGACAAAAATAAAAGCAATAACATCCATGACAAATAAAAAAGAATAATAGAAATCAAAGTTTACAGAGAATGGATGATACCCTCACCCACTTCTAGTGGCCTGGACATTAGTAGACTCTTTTTGACAAGAAACCAGGCCATGTGTTAAAAAAGAAAACAACAACAGTAAGAACACTTTAACTGAGTGAAGATACTTTGGGGAGTAATTAAAAATATAATTTATGCAAACTTTTTTTAAATCTGAAAGAATAAAAATCCCAAATGAGGTTAACAAAATGTATTGTTACTATTTTTATTGTATAAGCAGGAGAAAGAACAATTATAATTTATTTATCATTCTAAATATATAACATTTTTATTTTTTTTACTTTATTTTTATTGTTGGCACTATTACGGATGTCCCCAATATCCCCCCTTTGCCCACCTCCACCCAACCCGTTCCCCTTCCCTCTGGCCATCAGCATACTTTTGTCTGAAATTCTCCACGGGAACTTTGGGAGAAACGCCGTGGTGGTGAGAGCAGACCTGGGCCCGTTCCTCTCTGGTCTGCATGCCTGACCCTCCAGGGGCCTAGCCAGGCCTCTCACTACTGGCAGGTAGGGAAAGAGATGAAAAACGCCTCGTAGCACAGACTGAGGGGGAGACTTTCAGTGAGTGGAGCTTTAGAGCAGCTTTGTGGAATGAAAACCTGGAGTGTTACAGTGGTTAAACTGTGGTTATAAATTTCCTTGACAAGTCAAGATGGCGATTCCATTACAAATTAATTTTAGTTGCTGGACAAGGTCTCATTCATTTAGTGTGACACATTGGGCCACAAGTAAACAATGATGTCACATAATTTTTTTAAAAAATCCTCATCCTAACTCAAGGATTTTTATTGATTTTTTTAGAGAGAGAAGGGAGAGAGAAACATTGATATGAGAGAGAAATATCGATTGGTTGCCTTCCGTAAGTGTCCTAACCAGGGAATCAAACACTCAATCTTTTGGTGTATGGGATGGCCTTCCAACCAACTGAGCCACCTGGCCAGGCTAGATGTCATATAATTTTAATATCAGAATAAAGCACAAGGCTTGTAATAGCTTAGAGACTTAGTAGGCTGAGTTTTTTAAAAGTTATTTTATATTATTACTGACATATTGAGGCTTAACTTCCATAGTTCAGTTAGTTAAATTTACAATTTAATAATTTCGATTTAAAAAATACAATTTCATCTTACAAGCAATTATCCCCCTGGGAGCTCATAAAAGCTGGCCTTTTCTTTCCTCAGCATATGAAAAACTCCTGCTTTGGATGCAGGCCTCATTCTCGCCCAGCTGGTGCTGGGAAGTGTCATGAATTCACAGGAAATGCAGAAGCTGGGAAATCTAAAAGTTCCCTTATTGGGCATTGTTCTAGCATCTTAACATAGAACAGCTTCCCACTATGGCTATAGTTATGGTTTCAAAGTAGTAGTGAAGCTCTAGGGACACCTGAGAGATTGGTTCTCCCAATTTTTCAATTTTATAAAATTCCTAAGAAGTGAGAGCTTGGCCCCACCCTGACCCGAGGGCAGCCAGTGGCAGCTGCCAGCACCTTACCTGAGAGTTCCAGCCTGTCCCCCGGAGCATCACCCTTGGGCTTTGGGCCCGAGGCTGGGGGCATCTCTAGGTTTGGAATTGACTTCATGATATTGGCCTGAGCTTCTTCCAGGAGCTTCTCAAACTCTTTCCCATTATAGTGGTCCAGATTTTGTCTTTTCTCTTCCCATTTCCTTTCTGCTTTCTGAAGGAAAAGAGCGGGTGAAGAAAGTTGTTAAAAACAGAGGGAAAAGCTCATTAATTGTTTAGAGATTACCTGTTGGGTGGGAGGAGGTGTAACATAGTTAAAGTGTTGGCAAAATAACACTCTGGGTTATGTGCTGAGGGACACCTGGCAAATCAGACAAACCTGCTCTCTGCTGCCTCTTTTATAGCTAAATGGGCTGCATTTAAGCGCGTGACACTCATTCATATTGCAGCAAGCTCAGAAATCAAATTCATTCATTAAATGATGACTGAGCACTTACCAAATACTTCCACCAACAGTAAATAAAATGGGACACAGACACGCTATCCTAGCTAAGTATCCATAACAAAGTTTTTGTTTTCTAAATTGAGCTTTCATTGTACAGATGTTCAAACAAACAGAAATAAACACCAAAACACTCACTAGGAGCTAAGAATCCCATGTCTTGGTTCCACTTCTGTCAAAGACTTGCTATATGGCTACTGGACCACATTTTCTTACTTTGAAAAAGGGGGGGGGGTGAGATTACTTAGATGACCTGTTTATGGTACAAAGTCAGCAACAGTTGATGACTTGAGGGCACACAAATACCACATGAAATGATTCTTGATGTTTGCAGTTCTATTGTTTTGTGTCATCAGCAGTGCTTGGGCAAGAATGATCATCAGATTGAAAACAAGCATTGACAAAAAAATTACTCATTTCTGTAGATTCTTTTAAAAATTGAAAATGAACTGTATGTTAATAAACACTGACTTTATAATCATTCAAAGTGTGCATACATTTCTTAGGACATCATATCCTATGTAATAAAGAGGTAATATGCAAATTGACCATCATGCCCTCACAACATGGCTGCCTACACCCAGGCTGGCAGGGAGGTTAGTGAAGGATGACCAAACGACTGAACAAGCAGGCTGCATGGGGCGACCAGGCCGGCAGGGGAGTTAGTGAGGAACGACCAAATGACTTAACGGCAGGCTGTGTGGGGCGACCAGACCGGTGGGGGGACTGTGAGGGGTGACCAGGCCAGCAGGGGGGGGGGAAGTTGGGGGCAACCAGGATGGCGGCGGGCAGTTAGGGGCGATCAGGTCAGCAGAGGGGGGCAGTTGGGGGCAACCAGGCAGGCAGGCAGGTGAGCGATTAGGAGCTAGCGGTCCAGGATTGTGAGGGGTCCCAGATTGGAGAGGGTGCAGGCTGGGCTGAGGGCACCCCCCCCCCCCCCCCCCACATTTTGTGCACCAGGCCTCTAGTATATATATAAACACATTTTCATAAAAAATATAACTTGGATACATATATGTACTATGTCTACAGCCAGGCTGTAAATTCTTCCAGGGAAAGGACCATGAGTTACACTCCTCTATGGGGCTACAAAAAATGGAAGTAGGACTCTACCTCAATAGACACCGCCCTGTTCCTGGCACTCACACTGTGGATTTCCTCAATGAACAAACTCTGCATGGAGGAGCCATTCATGGGTGCCTGTGGAGACTGAGTTGCCTGTGATGACTGGGGAGCTGAGGTCACTTCCTGTGTGACAGCCGGAGGGCTGGTCAGGTGCTGGGCAGGGTTGGGTGGGGCGGAGGAGAGATGGGAGGGCTGAGTGACCACAGGAGAGCTCTGTGCATGGTGAACTGTCAAGGGCACCACTTCCGACTTCACGTCTCGAGGGACTGCTGTGCCATGGAGGGGCTGGGACGCCAGGACTTCTGCGGCGGTGGCCTTCTCCATGGCCACATACTGTGCGGCCTCGGCTGCATCTGTCCCTTTTAAGAGCCCATCGGTGACATGTCTAGGAGGAAGCATGCACAGCAGCGTTAGCTATGAAATAGGTGACTTTTATTTTATTATTATGGTGCATGTGAATACAATGCCATCCCAAAGCCAGGCAAACTTTTGTTGCAAAATTAAAACATTCTAAAACTCAGAGTAGCAACTCAGGGTTGAGGGTTTCCATAGCTACTTCCCAGCAGTGAATTTCCTCCTACTTAACTCTGGCAGCTGCTTTCTCAGTCATGTCCTCAGGAGGTGGCCTGCTTTGCTCTGTCCACTAGCACTGTTGTGCCCTGACTCACAATTCCATCACTGCTTTGGGGGGAGGTGGCAGCATGAAGTGGTCAAATGATTCTAACAATGTCTCCTCCAGCTGATCCCGGCCTGGAGAGCCCTCACAGATGCAGTTCTAATCCCCAAACCGTCCTGACACCCCAGAATCTGCTCCTTGCACTTCAAATGGCGCGGGAGGGCAGTCTATGTTCTAATGCTCACTCCTCCTGGTGTGAGCTGGCTTCCCCACCGGGACTTGACCAAGCTTCCTGCAAGGTCACCATGACACCAAATTGAGCAGCTGGGTTAGTTCTCATCCTCTTCTGCTTTCGGGGCCATGTGATGCTCTTTGTCCACCGACACCCATGGTGCAGCGAGAAAGACATGGCATTGGGGTCAGACAGACCTGGGTCTGAACATCAGTTCTGCCACGTTCTACTGCTATAACGCCAGGGACATCACCTTTTTGAGCCTCAGATACTTTTCCATAGAATGTGATCATGACAATGATGCTGACAGCTGATGATGTCTTCCCTAGGGTGGTTGTTCAGCTCAGTGTAAAGTTATATATGTGAGACAATGTGAGACTTGTACCTGACCTGTAATTTTTAATTAGTCTCTTTCCCTTCTTACTAAAATGCTCTTTTTGATTTGGAAAAAAAAGACACTATATTCTATGAGTCTCTCCTGCTACTCACGTCTCTGTTCCTTTTGCTGCTTAGTTTCCCTACCCTGTCCCTTCAGCCCCGAGGATGCCCAAGGACCTCTTCCCTCCTTTCCCTTCTCTCACTCTACTGTAGCCACCTCTTCTACTTCAAATCATCATCGTCACGAAGGCAACTTCTGATTCTAAATCTCTCTCCCCTTTCTCCTCCCACCTCCCCTCCCCATTAGGCAGGGACACCCCTCTGTCTCTCTCTCTTGAACCTCAGTCCACATTCCTAAGGGCCTAGTGGGCAGTTGTATTTGGCTATCCTTCCAGCACTTCAAATTCAATACATATCAAAACACGTCAGCCTCTTCCCAGCTGCTGAGTTGCTCTTGTCACCTGCGTTATCTCCCTGCCATGGCATCAGGACACAGGCACGTCCTGTCTTCCTCATTGTGTCTCCCCAGTGCCGGATACAGCACTTTAAATACACGAGCTACTAATACCAATTAATAGTGCAAAGGCTTGTGATGGGCAGCCGGATGGCAGCTAAGATTTCTTTTATTTTAAAAGTTAGTTACCTGGGGTTGTCATTCTGACCACTGAGCATTTATGGGACAAAAAGTCCTGTAACATTCAAAACACACATCACATCTTTTTTAGAACTTGATTCCCTGGAGATGAGGCAAGCACTGAGCTCCGTCCCTCTGTGCTGGCTCTAACACTTTGCTTGAATTGTTTTTCAGGGGAGAGAAGGGAGAAGGGGCAACACTGTCTGCCAGCCCGTTATCTGTTTCCACTTAACAAGGGTGGCTTGTTCTGGGCTTTGCGGATGGGTTACCACATTTAGGGAAGAGCTTAATGAAGAATTCTTTTACCAGATTTTTATCCTGCTGGAAGAAAAAGTTCACTCCAGCAACTTGAAATGAGTGGACCTATGAGAAGATGTGACTCAGGTACAATTTCTTCCTGTACTCAGTCAGATGTGGTCTCTGCAGGAGGCCACTGCTGCATTTCAGAATTCCTTCGGGAACTTATGCAGGCGATGCTTATCATGTTTGCATCTCAAAGGAGGCCTTTTCTTGAGGTCATTGCTGCTAGAAAAATCTCACTTGTTCCTCTGGTTAATAATAATTCATCTGAAAGTCAACTGTACATTTATTTATCTTATAAATCTGATCACATGTTTACAGTTAATGACTAAAATTCTCCCAAGAAGCTGTCTTATTTGTTCCTTCTGTCTGTGACTTGCTCTCAAACCTGGTCTAAGAGCTGAAGGCTAATGTCTCTGCAATTACCTAGTTCTATTAAAAACAGAAAACTCAGGGACAGCCACTGTTGGAAACTGGTTTAGTTTTGGTAGTTGTGTCTACTTCCCATGTGAGAGAGAAAGTTATAAAAGGGCAGGGTTCCTGTTTGTCTTTATTATTATACTAGAGGCCCAGTGCAGAAAATTGGTTCATGGGGGGTGGGGGGAGAGGGTCTCTCAGCCCAGCCTGCACCCTCTCACAGTCTGGAAGCCCTCGGGGGATGTCCAACTGATGGCTTAGGCCCATAAACCCGGCTTCTGGGCTTCTGGCTGAGTGGCGCTCCCTCTGTGGGAGTGCACTGACCACCAGGGGGCAGCTCCTGCATTGAGCGTCTGCCCCCTGGTAGTCAGTGCGCATCATAGCGACCAGTCATTCCACTGTTCGGTTGATTTGCATATTAGCCTTTTATTATATAGGATTCTTAACACCCAATACCAAGCTGGACAGGCAGACTGTCCAAACATGACTGACTGCCTGGGTGTGAGATCAGAACCAACTCTGCTCGCTGGAGTCAACCTATCAGTTCCTATCCTGGCCCCACCTCTCACTTCCAGTGAACTTCCTCGAAGCTCAGATTCTCTCTAGACAATGGGAATGAGAATGCCTGCCACATAGGGTTGCAAGTTAGGACAGAGTGAGCTAATATTTACAAAGGCTTAGTTCAGTGCCTGGAACATAGGAAGTGCTCACTGACATGAGCTATTGTTATGAGTGTGCTGAGAAGAAAGAGATCTAATTGTCACCCAAGACAGAGTACATGAGACGGCATTTATAAAGGTGCTTCTGGCAACACAATCCTGCATGTATGTCAGCACTTTCTATGTGAGTATAGAGTTCAGGAATTTTCTTCTCAATGAAAGTCCTGGGTGATTCAGTGATTTAGTTTAGTTTTTCTTTTTCTGTGACCCTCTTTTACGGGCAGGCAAGGGTGACTGGCTGTGCCACGCAAGGGGGTTTGTTTCTCTTTTCCAGATGGGATCAACACCTCTCAGATACTCTTTCAGCAGGAAACTCAAAAAAGGCTTTATTTCTACTCATTTTCTTTGAACTGAAGTCATCTATGCCCCTGAAGTGAAGGAGGCTAATATTACATTTTGATCCATTCTTCAACTTCAAAATGTTATTGGAAGGAACCACCTTCAAATGATTTTCTTAAAATGTTGACTAGTGACTTGCAAGCCCGAGCTCGTGCCGGATGCAGCAGGATCAGGACCTGCTTGAGGCCCCTGCTGAAGGATCAGGACCTCAAGCCATGCGCACAATGGAAGCTCCAGGTGGGAAGGGACCGCGGCTTCTCCTCAGGGCACGAGAAGTAAGACTTGCCATGTCCCAGGTCCCAGGAGCACAGAGGAAGCCTGGGAGTCCAAACCATAGACCCCCAACCCTCCCAGCACCCCCACCCCTGCCCCGCCCTCTGCACGCCCAGTGCGGTCACCTCCGCAGCAGAGTCAGGGTGTCGGTCATGCTCCGCACTCTCTGCAGGAGACTGTCCAGCCGGTGCGGCTCCTCCTTCAGGAACCGCACGGCCTCCACCTCTATGCGCAGGATGGCTCGCATCTTGTTTTGTAAGGTCGGGAATTCTCCTGTGGCCAAGAGCCGTGCGTGAGTTGTGGGAGAAAAAGTCAGGACAGCAACCCCCCACCCTGTACCCGACCCTGGATAGGGTGCAGTGCGTGGGGTTCACCAGCCACAGCGCCGTTCACACATCTTCAGGGAGAAGAAGTGGCGGACAGATGGCCATGGCCAGGGGCAGAGCTCCCCTGGGCCTCCTTTCCTGGCTGTGAACTTGGGATAAGGCCAGCTGTCCCTTGGGGTTGTGTTTACTGAATTTGGCACAGGTGTTGGTGTGTTGTAAGAGTCCAATGAGGAACTGTATTATCATTTAGTCCTAAATCTGTCAGCACCCACTACAGTATAAGCTTCAAGAAGACAGGAAGGCCTGCCTCTTGTTCGGGGCTGGGTCCCACGTGCCTGACACCTGGAGGTGTCTGGCGGACCCTGGCATGCATGAGTGAATGAGTGAGTGAACGAGGCCCTCCCTGTGGGACATAACCCCGAGGAAGCTCACCTTTCAGGGAAGCTACCGCTTCTCCCACTTGTCGCAGGAGGAACGCCCCATCTTCCACGTCTTTTAAGGTGACCACTCGGCCGGCCGATGCAGAGTCCTTCTTCAGGTCTTCAACCAGGTCCTCCAGCTCACTGGGGGGCGAGCAGACCACAGAGCGTGAACACCGAGGGCCGACAGGGGCACGGTGTACTGGGCTCCCACTGTGCACTGTGTCCCCGCCCACCTCGCCTTCCGCCCAGATGGTGGAGCACATGTGAGCGCAGGTGCAGGCAAGTTTACCCAGGGCCTGTTTGTGGAGTGGCCCAGGCGGCCGCAGGGCAGATGGCAGCTGGCGGATAAAGGACCCACTCTTCATCTTCAGTGGCGCTGAGGCCAATTAAGGGGGGTTGTGTGCACTTTGTGACAATAGAGAGAGAGGGAGAGGGAGAGAGAGAGAGGAAGGGGGGAGAGAGAGAGAGAGAGAGAGAGAATGCTGTAGTGGAGTAAAATGAGGAGCCCAGATCAGGCTTCTCAACCTTGGCACTTGACCTATTGGACCAGATAATGCTCTGTAGTGGGGCCTGTCCTGGGCATTTGAAGGTGTTTGGCAGCACCCCTGTTTCTGTGCACTCGGTGCCAGTAGCACTTCCCCCACTTTGTGACAAACAAGAATGTCTCCAGGCATTAAATGTCCTTGGGGGAGGGGAGCAAACTTGCCCTGATCCAACCTCTGGTTTATACTGATTGTCCCATCAATAAGGACTGCCTTTCCTTTTTAAGCTACAAAGAGAAGAAATGATCCAGGCCTGATTCACACACACACACACACACACACACACACACTCAAAGAGAAGAAATGATCCAGGACTGATTCTCACACACACACACACACACACACTCACGCACCCTCATATGTGCACACACACCTTAGGGTACTGCCTGCTCCAAAAGAATTAAGGCCTTTCACTTCCAAAACAAACAAACAAAAACAAACATCCTGTCACCTGGGAACATTAATAACCCCCTCCTAAGCCACGTTTGTATCATTTCAGTTTGCCTGTAAATCTAACAACCACCCCTCATAAAGAAAAGGGGAAAGAACTTTGAGATGAAGAGCCACTGGGTGGCAGTAAGTGAACAGCTGTTACTTGGTGGAGTCCTGAGCCTGTGGAGCAGGCAGCAGCAGGAGGGGAAAAGGCAGTATTTGCAGAAAGATGGCCCGCTAAGACCCTCGCGCCAGGTGGACGAGAGGATGAAGTTATGGATGGCACGACAGTTGTGAGAGCGATTCAGGCAGGACGGCGCATATGTTCAATAAGGACCATGGGGCAAGCAGCAAATTCATCCACCTCCGAGAAGTGGGGTGAAGATTTTGCTGATGTCTTTCATTCTGTTATGGAAAATGGACCCAAAGTGCCTATGATCCCTTCAGATAAGATGATGCAACTTTAGGACCAAAATGCAAAGCCATCTTCTCACTGTCCACATTCACAAACGATGGACAGAGACCCGTTTATGTGAACCCACTGGGATGTTCCCACATCTCCTGCACCCCGAGGTGGAGAGACTGTGTGCCATCTCTCAAAAGAGTTCTAAATATGTGAGGAAAAGTCTTTTTTCACTTCATAACCAAACAGAATTATTTGAATGTGTAGATTGGACACGCTGTCCAGTCCTCCTAAGCTTTGATGGAAGAGCTAAGACCCAAATGTTATCATGGTTCCATTAACAATCCTGCAGCTGGCCAGGTTGCAATTAATACTCTAAGGAGCTGTCATCTGAGCAGTCAGCCTAAAATTCTATTTGAATCTCTTCCATACAATGTGACTCTTGGATTTTATAACCTTGCATCAGCTGCTTATAAACACTTGTAAGGGTCCAACACAGTGGAGCCTTACTTGTCAGTTTTTCCTGTGTCGATCATGGAACATAGAGAAATGTGTACTGAAATTGTTGTACACACAATATCATTTCTCTTCATATACTTCTATCACAGATAAAGCATGCAGAAAAAATTGGTTCACCCAAAATGTAAAAGGAGACCATGGAGCTAAAATGAATGCTGAAAATAATTTTTTAATATTATAGTAATTAATATGACTTTTGGGATGTAAACTCTGCTCAATAGAATGCCAGGTGTTCACAGATGCTATGGTTTATAGGTAAATCCATTCTATTTGTTGATGTTGCTTTTCATTCTGTCTTGGTTAAAAAGAAGTATTAATTTGTTGAAATATATTTCATTTGACTGTTCCTATTTGTTGATGTTGCTTTTCATTCTGCCTTGGTTAAAAAGTATTAATTTGTTGAAATATATTTCATTTGACTGTTATCAGAAGCCCAATTATTATTTCCACATAGAAACCCACCAAAGATAAATTCTCTTGATCCAATTTCTCTCCATAGTTGCCAGGCCCAAATTTTATTTTTCTGCCATTTGAATGGCTCACCAACAACTTGCCCTAACATGATCCCCAAGGGAACTTATTTTCATGTGTGTGCGTATGTGCGTGTGTAAGTATGTGTGCGTGTGTGAGTGCGTGTGTATGAATGTGTGTGAGTGTGTGAGCATGTGTGCGTGTATGTGTGTCAGTTTGTGTGTGAGTGAGTGTGTGTGCACATGCACGCGTGTAAGGAGAAAGGTTGGGAGGAGGAGGGTCAGGGAGAGGAGGAGAGTTGGGGGTGCAAGAAAGGAGGAGAGGCAGGTATAACTGTTTTCCTTAGGTTCCAGAGTTGGTATGAATGTGTGTGTGAGTGTGTGATTGAGTGTGTGAGTGCGTGTGTGAGCATGTGTGCGTGTATGTGTGTGTGTGTGTGTGCACATGCACTCATGTAAGGAGAAAGATCGGGAGGAGGAGGGTCAGGGAGAGGAGGAGAGTTGGGGGTGCAAGAAAGGAGGAGAGGCAGGTATAACTGTTTTCCTTAGGTTCCGGAGTTGAAATTTCCAGCTGTCTTTTGTAACCACTCTGATCCATCCAATCAGTCCCTTTTGCATTTGATTTATTTTCTCATTCCTATTTCTACTGCTTGATTCAGCTCTTACTGACTTTTGTCTGGACTGTTAAAGTCAGTTCCAATATGATTTCTTAGACCAGCGGTCGCCAACCTTTCGGACCTCACAGACCACCAGGGGTCCATGGACCACCGGTTGGCGACCGCTGCTCCAAAGGTTTCCTTAAACCAGCGGTCGCCAACCTTTTGGACCTCATTGACCACCAGGGGTCCTCGGACCACCAGTTCATGACCGCTCTCTTAGACAATTTCTCCCTCAATCAGCCCTCCATGCGATGGCCAGAGGGATCCACCTGAAATACAGCTTGGAATCTGTTACTTTCTTGATCAAAAAAGCTTCGGTGACCTCATCAGGCAAGGCAGAAACTCCCAAATGGGAAGATGATTCAAAATCTCCCCTGTATCTTTGTAAAATGCACAGTCCTAAGCTCCATCCCGAGAAATCCTGGGGTCCTCAGACCACCAGTTAGTGACCGCTGTCTTAGACAATTTCTCTCTCCCTCAATCAGCCCCGCATGCGATGGCCAGAGGGATCCACCTGAAATACAGCTTGGAATCTGTTACTTTCTTGATCAAAAAAGCTTCGGTGACCTCATCAGGCAAGGCAGAAACTCCCAAATGGGAAGATGATTCAAAATCTCCCCTGTATCTTTGTAAAATGCACAGTCCTAAGCTCCATCCCGAGAAATCCTGAACCAGGGGTTGGGCCCAGGAACTTTCATGAAAAGCCAGAAATCCAGTTATGTGATCTTCCAATCTCGGTAAACACAGAACAAACAGACGTCCAGAGGCATGCTGGGCGTGAGCATGGTCTAGATATGGGGAGGTACCACGCAAACAGAAATAGCACGACCCAAACATGAGACATGATTAGTATCTTGTATCCACGCTCCACCCAGCTGGACTACTCTCATTTTCCAAGGATGTCTTGTGCCTTCCTGGTCCTAAGACTTACTGGTTTGTAGGGTTCCTCTACTTGGGGGGTCCCCCCTCCACTGATGAAACCTCACCAGTCCTCAAGACCATTTCAGTTCAGTTTAACACCTTTGTGAAGCCCTACTATGCACATGGTACTGTGCTTGGCCTGGAGCCACATGAAGAATCATTTCAGATTAAGTGTCCCTGGTTCCTGGGGCTCGAAGCCTTTGTATAGGTTAACCTGGCACCGCCTGTTTTGTGCTATACACATACTGCTATGTCCTGTTTTGCCAGACTGAATTTCCTCTAGTGGCTGTGCACAACCTATTCATGTATGGCCGTCCCACAAAGCCACAGGTGAAGTCCTCTCATGATATGTTGGTTCCACTCCCCTGCATATCATTCCTATGCTGGCCTACTAGTCTCAGGATAATATTGAGATTAAAGATGCCTTATTTTAGTCAAGAAGCAAGAATTATCTCAGCTAACCAATAAATACAAAATTTGAAAGGAGAAAATTTACTTTTCATATTTTATTTGGAAAATGTATAAAATATTAAAAGGCTATATATCTTAAAAGAAGTTTTCAAGAAAAATCCTGAGACCTAGTTTTAAGCAGCTGGGCTGTCACAAAATCATTTTAGACAGATAATAGCCTCACTGCTTCACGGTGAGAGATTAACTAGTTATAAATGTTTGAACTAAATAAAACATTTTGAGATGGCGATGAACAGTGGTCAAATTTTGATTTCTTTGAAAAATAATAACGGAAACAGTTTTTTTTCTCAGACTGCCACTGAGAGTGACATTCTAATTTCAATCAGACCCATTGGGTTGGCATCTGAGGTGAGGTAAACTGCAGACCCAAATATCCAATAGGAGACCAAGCACAGTGCTTTCCATCACGGAGACTTCTGGGGGTTCTGGTCATACAAAGAATTTGGAAGTTGCTCCCTTACAATTCCAATTTGGAAGGTTTAAGCTTTCCAAGAAGCAAGAAAATTGCCAACACTAGAAGAACCGCAGAAATTACTATTCATTATATTAAAAGGTGAAATATTTCTGTGATAAATCTCCATTGCATAACAAGACATGCATTAATATAAAAGATGTGCCTGCTCTAGTGACCGGGGAGTAATAAAACTGCTCACTTCAATGGGGGGCTTGATAGATGCTTTCAATCAGAACCTCACAGAAGACTGGGAGCTTTCAAGGAAGCATTTCTCCTCTGCATCAGACATACTTTACATTTAAATTCTTCTTTTGTGACTTTAACTACAGTTGAATAATAGGAAGACAATTTTAGTGCGCTGTTATTTTGACAATTAGTTTTGATTTACTGAGATTAAATGCAGACTTCCCATTCATCATTGGGTTTTGCCATTTGCTCCTTTTAATTCTGTGTTGCTGAGCCCTACAGAAGAGTGTGATGTTCCCACCCTTAAAGAGACCAGCTCAGGTACCTGAGGATTGCTGAATTCCTTGGGCCTGGATGGGTGGTGGTGGTGGTGGTGGGGGCACCAAGAGTCCATGGACAGCCCAGAACCACAGATCTCTAGCTTGTACATAGTAGGTGCTCAATAAAGGGAGAGGGGGAGAATGCCATCTAGGAAGGGCCTCCTCCTTGGCAAAGTCAGGTTTCCTTCTCTGGTTAAACAGCTAAACACACAGCAAGCGACGGGCACTCACCATAACTTCTTGACGATCTTCTCCTCTTCCTGCAGGTACTTCTGTCTCTCTTGCTCCACCAGGACGCGCTGGCGCTGCACAGGGTCCTCCAGCCTCTTCATCATTTCAATCACTCTGCCGCTGATTTCCAGCTCAGCCTTCTTCATCATCGCCCTCAGCAGCTCCTGGTTCTGCAGCTGTGGAACAAAAAGAAATCAACCTCAATTGGCTCTGCCTGCCTGACACGCGGTGAGTGCCTGGCAGGCTTCAGAGGCGGGTTAGGATAAACAGCCGCAGCTGAATCTTTATTTCAATGAAAAAGGGAAGGCCCAAAGACTGTATATAATGTTGCTTCTTCAGCCAACATCTGAATTTTAGCAGCCAATTGACAATCAGACTTTCATGTCTGAGTCTGCAGAAAATAGGATCCTCTCTTTACTCTGGTCAATGCATCATGGACAATGGACATGAACTCTCATTGACACGTTTTTATAGGGAGCAGCCAAGAACACTAGGTTTGAAGCCAAGCAGATTTTGGATCAAACCCCTAAGCCTTTCTCCCAGGCTACTGTGAGATTCTGGGCATGTTACTTGGCCTGTCTTGGTCTCCGTTTCCTTATCTCTAAGGACAGGGATTCACTTCCCGTGGCAGGGCTATTCTGAGGATTAAATGAGATACTGCTTAGTATTAGAACAGGTACTCAACAAATGTTGATGTGGCTATGGACTCTTTCAGGATATCTATTAAAAGAGGATCGTGTGCCTCTTTTTTATATGGGTTCATGTACCAAATACCAGGTAATCACAGACCATTACAACATGGCGTTGATAGTGATGGTGGCAACGACAATGATTCCAGATCAACCCAAGGCTCTTGGCAATTGAGTGATTTCCCTGGGTTATACACAGGCTGCTGTGTGCATCAGACCACAATTTCCATGTAATTTTCCACGTACTTACTAGGGCACTCGTTTCTCACCACAGAGTATAGGACGTGGGAGTTTGCACCCAGGTTTCACAAGAATCTAGTTAAACACTTGAGTCCTATTTCCAAGAAGGTTCTAAGTGCTCCTCCGGGCAGGAAAATTTTCTGACAGCTCATAGGCAAGTGAATTCATTCAACCAGCCTCAAAAGCAGTAATTATATTATACCTGAAGTTCCCCTGAAATGTCAATGTCACTTCCTCTGTTTTCTGCTCGTGTGGACTGTCCTATGACTGCTGTATAGGAGCGAAGGTGTCTTTGTCAACTCCATTATCTGCAAATTGAGGGAAATGCCACCTGGCCATGTTACACCTGCTTGAACCCTCATCCTGGCTTCCATTTTCTCTGAATAAAGAGAAAACATCTCAACATGAGCCATAAGCAGAGCCACCACCGGATCAATACCTCAGTACAGCACCGTGACCAACTGGCCGTCCAGAGAGAGAGAGACTGCTAGGGTTCAATGTGTAGTTTTATCACTTAGTAGCCGTGTAACTGAGGCCAAGTTATTCATTTCTGTGTCCATCCATAAAAAGGAGTAGTAATAGTTTGTATCTCATAGGCTGGTAATGTAGACTCAAAGAGGCAGTCCAGCGCTGACAGCAGTGCCTGGCACAACCCTGGCTCTCAGTACATACTGGCTCCGGCTATCAGGAGCATAACCCTGGGCAGGGCCTGCGGTTTTGTCTCGGAGGAAACCAGATAAAACTGTGCCATTCTTGGGTCACCTCCTCTATATGACTCACGACCATGCTCTCAGACTGCTTTGGCTAGTAATGTCATCTTAAAAAAAAGTCACCACGTTTGGAGACAATGCACAGAGGGCGACTTCCTCCCATGCTCTCTGCAGCCACAGCTCCTCCTCCTCACACTGCATGCAGCTGGCACGCTCTCTGCTGCAGCCACATAAACATCCTCTCAGCTATTCTGATTGGCCAAGATCCTTTCTGCCACAGGGACTTTGCACATGCTAGTGCCATCACCTGGTTAATTTCTGTTCTCCATAGAGTCTCCAGGACACAGTGCATGGCACATAGCAGGCATTTAATAAATAGTGGTTGAGTGCATGAATTGAATTAAGCAGCAATCCTATCTAATAAAGACAGACTATGCAAATTGACCATCACTTCATGACAAACGTGGCGGCGCCCAGAGCCAATAAGGAGGGAATATGCAAATTGACATGACAAAGATGGAGGCGGCTGGGCCGGGACACTTGCGTTGTTGCCATGGCGACAATGCAGGCGTTCAGCCCCACCCCGGCTGCTCCGGACCTCCACAGTGCGCGAAGGCAGAAGGCAGCTCTGGGCCAGAGCGAAGGTGGAAAGGCGGCTCCGGCCAGAGTGAAGGCGGTACCGGCAGCCAGGGGAAGGAAGGCCTATTCTTGCACGAATCTTTGTGCATCGGGCCTCTAGTGTTGGTAATAACAAACAATGGAGATCTAAAATCTCTTTCCTGGATGGAAGAAATATAGGGTGGCCCATGGGCTCAGAGATGGTTTGCGTTCAGCTCTAATGCCTGGCCTTGCTCTGTCTGAAGTTGTTAAACATACACAGCAACACTACCTACTACCAAAATGGTATACTCACATTCAGTGCCATGTGTCAAATGGCAATAGTATGCGAAGGGCCAATAAGTAGATGATTGTGTCTAAAAGTGACTGATGCCTGGGTCCACCCTCCAAGAGAGGTGCAGCCTCAGCAACAAGAATTTTTAAAACTCCGCAGGTGATTCTGGTGTGCCACCAAGGCTGTGCATCGTGGTCTAAGAGAAGGACCCCTGAATGGATAGAGGATGCCACTGCGCCATGAGCTGTGTGGCGCAGTCCTTTGCACCTCTTGCATAAACCTCACAGACGAGCTCCAATGAAGTTACGGTCCAGTTAGCAGTGGATAGTAACAGTGGCTATCCAGCTGGAAATTATTGAAAGACTATTTCCAATTCTCAAAGCTAAAATCTGAAAGATGGCAAAGTGAAGCCCTAAGAGGTAAAACTACTGATTCAGAGTCACTTGGGCGACTTCAGGGCGGAATCAGGATGAGAACTAGGTCTTCTGAATTCAACCTAGTGCTCTTTCAACCACCACCTGCAGGGGCAGAGTGCCAGGCATCATGTGTTTCACTCCCAGGCACAAGCACCGTTTCTGGCACACGGTAGGTACCCAACGCATATTTGCTGTATGAATGACTCTCAAAATAATGTTTCTGAGAAACCCGCAGACATATCAGAACACAAATTCATGTAATATTCAAATTATTCAACTGGTAACACGGTCAGATCATATTCAAATTATTCAACTGGTAACACAGTCAGGTCATATTCAAATTATGGAGGGAGAGTGGGAGAGACTCGCCTGGAGTTCTGGGCTGCATGACCGTCCTTCCCAGAAAGAGTGGCTTCCGGGAGCCAGCCAGAGGACTGGCCGGCATTCTCAGGGCATTTTCAGGAGCATACTGGCTGGCAGGTGCGCAACAGTGGATTAACCATGAAGGAGCAAACACGTGCTCAGGTTCTCTCTCCACTCTCTTCTAGTCCTGTTCCCCCACCTCCTACCCCCCCCAACGCATATTTGCTGTATGACTCTCACAATAATGTTTCTGAGAAACCCGCAGACATATCAGAACACAAATTCATGTAATATTCAAATTATTCAACTGGTAACACGGTCAGATCATATTCAAATTATTCAAATGGTAACACAGTCAGGTCATATTCAAATTACGGAGGGAGGGAGAGAGGGAGAGACTCGCCTGGAGTTCTGGGCTGCATGACCCTCCTTCCCAGAAAGAGGGGCTTCCGGGAGCCAGCCAGAGGACTGACCGGCATTCTCAGGGCATTTTCAGGAGCATACTGGCTGGAAGGTGCGCAACAGTGGATTAACCATGAAGGAGCAAACACGTGCTCAGGTTCTCTCTCCACTCTCTTCTAGTCCTGTTCCCCCACCTCCTACCCGCCAAAAAAAACGACCTGGTGCTCTTGCCATTGTTTCCGGCACTTCATCCAGCCTGGTGTGAAAAGGTGCTGAAGGCAGCATGTGGATCAATACCTCTCTCTTAAATGCTTCAAATAAATTAGTCATCAGCACTTTAAGCCATTATGTTTATTTTGGTTCAGCAGTGACATCTCCATTTCAATTAACTTAAAAAAAACCTCATTCCATTTTTTACTTTAAAAACAGTAAAATACAGATGCTCCTAACTTTCCCATGAGTTAGGCCCCCATAAACCTATCATAAGTTGAAAATACCATAAGTTGAAAATGCATTTAATACACCTAGACTACTGAACATCATAGCTTAGCCTAGCCTACCTTAAAGGTTCTTAGAATACTTACATTAGCCTACGATTGGGCAAAATCATATGGCACAAAGATTACGCTGTAGATTTATCAGTTATTTACCCTCAGGATTGCGTTGGCTGACTAGCCCAGAAAGGATCAAAATTCAAAATGTTTCTACTGACCACGTATTGCTTACACACCATGGTAAAGTTTAAAAATTATAAGTTGATCCATCCTAACTTGGGCACCATTTTAAGTGTGCAGGTCAATGAGTTTTTTTTTTAAAAAAATATATTTTATTGATTTTTTACAGAGAGGAAGGGAGAGAGATAGAGAGTTAGAAACATCGATGAGAGAGAAACATCGATCAGCTGCCTCCTGCACACTCCCTACTGGAGATGTGCCCGCAACCAAGGTACATGCCCTTGACCGGAATCGAACCCGGGACCTTTCAGTCCGCAGGCCAACGCTCTATCCACTGAGCCAAACCGGTTACGGCTGGTCAATGAGTTCTGACAAATGTATACACTAAAGTCACCACCACTAAAAAGAGAGATAACATTTTTTATTACCCTAGAACCGTGGTCGGCAAACTGTGGCTCGCAAGCCACATGCGGCTCTTTGGCCCCTTGAGCGTAGCTCTTCCTAAGCCTTAGGAGTACCCTAATTAAGTTAATAACAATGTACCTACCTATATAGTTTAAGTTTTAAAAATTTGGCTCTCAAAAGAAATTTCAATCGTTGTACTGTTGATATTTGGCTCTGTTGACTAATGAGTTTGCCGACCACTGCCCTAGAAAATCCCTTCATTACTCTTTGCAATCAATCTCCCAACCCTCAGCCCAACGAAACTACCAATCTGCTTTCTGCCCCTTTGGATTTAGTTCTTCCTGTTCTAGAATGTCATATAAATAGAATTGTACGATATGTAATC